CTGGTGCTTTGTTAGGGTTTTCATGGCTCCCTGTTTTTGCTTGCTGGTAGGCTGGTGGGGGAGGAAGGTTTCTTCTTCTTCTCTGCTGGATGTTTGGGTTGCTGGTGTTTCCTTCCTGTTGTTTGGTTTTCCTCAGCTCTCTGTATTTCTGTTTTACTGGTCTTCTGGTTTTATTCTTGGTCCTCTTTATCTGGTTGTTTTGGTGTCATCTCTTGGTCTGTGGTGGTGACCAGATTGACGGCTGCTGCTGTTTTTTTGTTCTGAAATCTTCCTTGCTGGAGTGTTTGGTGGGGAAGTGCTTGGTTTTTACTTGGTTTATTGTTCCATTGGTTTTGTTGGTTGCTTCTCTATTTGGTTGCTTGTCTCCTTTCTACCTGTGCTCTGGATGGCTACTAACACTACTTTGGACGCAAATATCCAATGGGCTAAGGAGAATTTACAAAATATGGATCAGTTAATTTTTACATAGGAGTTTCATGACACTTTAACTGGTAAAAGGACTTCTCCCTGTACCTTAGGTGTAAAGAAAAGGAGCCTACAATTTATTTTTCTCCTCAAGAGGTTATTTCTTTAAATGAAGAGGTTAAGCTCACTTTGGTAGGTAAATTCCAGCTTGGCCATCCTAAGATGGAACTTGCAAGGAGGTTTTTTGAGTCCTTGAATTTTAATGGTGCTTGGTAACTAGGTTTACTAGATGGCAGACACTTATTCAATTAATAGAAGAAGAAGATTATGCTAGGCTCTTTGCCAAGCAATCTTTAGTTATTGGGTGGACTACCATGAAACTAATGAGATGGACCCCTGGATTTAATCCTAGCAAAGAACCTCCTGTGGTACCTCTTTGTTTCAAGCTTCCTGGACTCCCTATTCCATATTTCAAGTTGAATCCTCTTTCTAATACTGGGTCTACTTTAGGCAGACCCCTTAAAGTTGATGCTCATACTTATAACAAGTCAAGGCCAGCTCTTGCTAGAATTCTCATTGAAAGAGATATCACCTTGCCTAAAGTTAAAAGAGTGTGGATAGGCTCTAAACATGAAGGCTTTTGGCAGGAGGTGATCCTTGAAAAAAGGCCTTATTATTGTCAACATTGCAAGATGTTTGGAAACACTATGGATAGTTGATATAGGCTACATCATCCAATGAAAAGAAAACAGTCTTCTATGAAGAAAATTGACCCCCCTCAACATCCTGGGGTTAATGAGGATGGCCTACAAGATGAGTCTCAGAGCTCTCCAACCCCTTTTGTTTCTAATACTCCTTCTCCCAAGGGAGTGCTGAGAGAGGAACTCAACCTTATTGCTATAATTTCCCCCACTGTTAACTCCATTGAGGAGAGGTTTCGGGATTCATTCCAGGAAAAGCAATTGGAGACTCAGGATGTTATTGAGGAAGAGAATGTTACTACTTTGAACCCTCTTCGGGGGGAGGATTGGATTGTGCAGACCTCTAAAAGAAATAAAAAATAGACTACAGAATCTCAAAGATTACAAGGGAGGGTACTTCAATTGGCAATAATCTGTAGGTTGGATCATCTCCTGGACCCTCTAGAGGGAGGACCAGATCGAGATCACAACCCTCACTCCATATTTCTCCTCCAAATGTTTAAGTTCTCTCTTGCTTAGTATATGGCCTCTAGTCACTTTAAGTCTTTCAGAAGACTTTTAAATTTTCTCCTTAGCTTCAGTTATAATGTTTTGAGATTTGGTCTCCCTAGCCTTTGGGTGATGGTAGACTTCTGTCAGTTTTTTCTATATCCTCTATCTAAGAGGATATGAGAGCCTTTTATTCTCTTCCTTTGTTTTAATTTAGCAAGTCATTGGACAGTTTTTTTTTAGGCTGTTGTGATAACAGTCTTATGGTTCCCTTTCTCTTATAAAATAGATGATTAATTTGATGTGTTGAAACATCAGGGGGATTTTAGATCCAAAATCCTTGATCAGAACTAAACAATTTGTACGGAAGCACATGTTTTTGTGTTTTACTATTCTTGAACCTTTGGTTCACAACATCCCTTGCAGATTTAGAAAACACTTCCCAAGTTTCAACTGCATTTACAATATTAATAACAAAATTTGGTTTTTCTTTAAAAGAAATCTTAAAGTTCAGATCCTGGATGATCAGCCTCAATTGTTACATATCAAGCTTCTATGGGATTTTCTACATGTTGAGCTACCTTTATTTATGTTGGGAGTTCTGCTAGTGATAAAGCTACATTATGACAACAAATCCAGCATCTAAAATATTCTATTAATGGACCTTGGATCATAGGTGGAGATTTTAAAAGTATAGTTAGATTGAATGAAAGATGGGGTGGGAAACCTGTGGATATCAACCAAATGTTACTCTTCAATCAGAACATCAGGAACACTGATCTTGTTGAACTTCCACATCTGGGTCCTCTTGATACTTGTAGGAGAGGTAAACTATTTGAGAGAATTGATAGGTTCCTAGTTAATCAGGCTTGGCTTGATACCAACTTTGTGACTATGGTCTCCCATCTTCCTTACACTTGTTCTGATCATAAGCCTTTTTTTAATTTCTATATCCCCTAATCTTATTTCTTCATTACCAAGATTCAGATTTTTTAATGTATGGGTGGAGCATCTTGATTTTCTTCCCTTTATCAAGTCTGTTTGGCTACCTATTTAAACTTTTCCTCGGATTAGATAATGGCAAATTCAAAAAAAAGTTGCTAAATTGCTGAAAGCCTGGAATTTGAACTGTTTTGGCAACCTTACAACAAAGGTTGAAGAGGCTGAAGCTACTGTTAAATAGACTGAATTAAACATATAGATGGAGCTCTCTGATGAACAAAACCTGATCTTAGCTAATGCTAATCTTCTTCAAGCTATTCATTGGGAGGAGGAATTCTATAAACAAAAGGCAGCCATTAAAAAGTTTGTTGATGGGGATAGGAATACAAGGTTCTACCATGCCTGTATTAAACAAAGAAGACACTCCAATACCATCTTGAAGATTAAAAATCATAATGGCAGTTGGATCGAGGGGGCTGATCTAATTCATAGAGATGCTATAAACCACCTTCAGACTCTTTTATCTGAACCTCATGAGGCCAGTCTTCAAAACTTTGATCCTAGTCTGCTTAATGACAAATTCTCTGAAATTCACTGCTTGGACTTAACTTTTATTCCTTTTGAGGAAGAAATTTGGAAAGCTTTATGTTCTATTGATGGTGATAAAGTGGCTGGTGCAGATGGTTTTACTTCTGCCTACCACAAAAAAACTTTGGAGGTAGTAAAATTTGATATTGTGGAAACTGTTCAAGCTTTCTTCAGGGGGGAGGAAATGCCACATTACTTTGCTCATTCCGCCATAACTTTAATCCCCAAGCGGAATCAGAAATCTAGTTGGGATCATTTTAGACCCATATCTCTTACAACTGTGTAGTCTAAGCCTATTAGTAAACTTTTGGTTTTTAGATTAAAACCACATTTATCTTGGATGATTTCTCCTAATCAACCTGCTTTTGTTACATGCAGACAAATTGCTGACAATGTTCTACTTACACAAGAGCTCTTTCTTGATATTGTTAAGCCTTGCAAGGGGGGTAACCTTATTTATAAGCTGGATATTTTTAAAGCTTATGATACTATCAAATGGAATTTTATTTTGGAGGTCCTTAAAGCAAGGGGTTTCAAAATTCCTTCTACCAAATCATCCACAGATGGCTTAAGAATAATTCTTATTCCATTCTTCTTAATGGGAATTCTCAATGGCAGTTCCAAGCTACTAGGGGAATCAAACAAGGGGACCCCCTTTCTCCCTACATTTTCATTTTGGGTATGGATTACTTATCAAGGCTTCTTAACCAAAATTTTTCTGGAAGGGAATATATCAGATTTTCTAATAAAGCTAATTTTTCCATAATTCATTTATGCTATGCTGATGACTTCGTACTTTTTTCTAAGGCCTCAAAACTAGCAGTGAAGAAGGTTGTCAGTTTGCTAAACTTGTTTCAATAGATTTTTGGTCTCTCTCTGAACTCAAAGAAATGTCAACAAATCTTTAGCAATAAGCTTATTTCTACTGCTAAAAACTGGATAAAAGACTTCACTGGATTTAAATCTGCTACCAGCCCTTTGGTTTATCTTGGGGTAGAAATAATTAACGGCAGGAAGAAGAAGCAAACTCAATTTGATGAGGTGGCTTCAAAAATTTCCAAAAAAATCTCTTATTGGACTAATTCTTAGGGGGGAAGGCTAACCTTAATCAAAAGTATCCTAGCTTCTTTCCCTATGTATATTATGCAAATGCTGAAAATGAAAAAAAAGGCACATAGAAAACCTTGGAGGTGATGTTAAATAAATTTTTGTGGGAAGGAAAACATAAAAAAGCTCACCGGTTTAGTTGGGAGAAGCTTTGCCTGCCTCTTGCTGCAGGGGGGCTTGGTATGAAGTCCTTCCAACAACTTCATGATATCTTCTATTGTGAACTCTGGATCAAATTTAGAGAACAAAAGTCTTTATGGGCTTACTATATGAAGTTAAAGAAATGCATGCACTCTCATCCAACAATTATCTGCAGAAAACCTGGGGATTCTAAAATCTGGACTGAACTCTTGCATATCAGGAATGTGGCTAAAGACCTTTTTATCTGGAATGTGGGAGACTTTTTATCTGGGATGTGGGAGAAGGAAAAATTGATTTTTTGTTAGATAACTAGCTACTTGATGGTAAATTGGAGCCATCAACCTCTCTGGGCTCAGCTATCAACACCCTTATTCAATTATGTTGGAATGGTCATCATTGGAATAAATATATGTTGGCTTCTATGGTGAATCGTGAACAATTGTATCAAATCCTTAGGATCCCAGTTAATCCACAAAAACTTTGTGACTAAAAATCCTTCTCATACCTCTCTTACCAAATTTGCATATTATATACTAAACAATTGACAACACAAGGATTGGGGTCAAGCCATATGGGTGAAATATCTCAGCCCCTCTATGTCTTTCTTCACTTGGAGATGTTTTCATAATATTATTCCCACCGATGATATACTTAAACTCAAGGGTTTAAAAGGACCTTCAAGATGTAATTTTTGCTGCCAACAGGAGGAATCCTTAAACCATCTGTTTTTCTATTGTCCTGTTACCCTTGTCCTGTTGCTCAAGGGGTTTGGACATAGGTGGCTTCTAAAATCAATTTCCCCTCCCGTCTGTTGGATTTTGGAAACTTCCTTGACTACTGGAAGGGTTGGAAAGAGAACCATGCTGAAATAATTCTCTTTATTACTACATGGTTCATATGGATGGCAAGAAATAGCAATAAATATGAGAGAAAAACTCAAAGTGCCACACAAATTGTTATTAATTGCTATGCTTATACTCTTAAGATAATCAATTTCATGGGTTACAAAATAAAAGTTCCTGGGTGCTCTCAAATCCTTAATACTCAAAGTTCTCCTTTTGCCAAATCACATTTCCTGCTGTTCCATTGAGAGAAACCTTCTTATCCTTGGATCAAAATCAGCACTGATGAGAGTTATAGAAGACACACTGCTGGTATTGGGGAGATTTTCAAAAATAACTTTGGGGAATGCCTATTGTTTTTTCAATCTCCCTCTGATGCTTTAAATGCTTTGCAGGCTGAAGCCTTAGTTGTGGTATGAGTTCTTCAAACAGCTGTTGTTATGGGATGGAACCTTCTAATTGTGGAGCTAGACTCATCATGGCTAGTCCAGCTCTTAAAGGATAACATCTCCCCACCTTGGTTTCTTCTTCTAGCTTTTAATCAAATTAGTGACATGAAGATAACTGACAACTTACAGATTATCTGGAATCATATCTTCAGGGAGGGTAATAGATGTGCTAATTGGCTTGCACTTCAAGGTGCACTATCTATGTTGCCTAAAGTGAATATGTTTCCTGAAGTGAATACTACCCCCCCTGTGGAGCTGGCTTGGTTGATTAATGCAGATATGTCTGATCTGCCTTATATTAGATGGGAGGTGTCAAATGCTGATTCTTCAAACTATCCTACCTAGGGAGGGCTATTGTCTTCTTGGGTCCTTGTTGTTTTGGAATTTTCTTTTCCTTTTCTTCTCTTCAGGCCCTGTTTAATGGGGAAAGGTTTTGGGCAGGTTACAATTGGTTTTTTGTTTTTTTTTCGGGAGCCCTTGACCCATTTTGGGTGGACCTTGATTTTTATTTGTGAACCAAACCCCTACAACTTTTGTAACCTTTAATTTAGTTTAACATGTAAGGTGTCTCTGACACTCCTTTTTTTAATATATATATATATATATATAAGAAAGAATTACTTATGGCTCCCTACATGTTGTTCTAAAAAAGGAACATATATATATATATATATATATAATACAGCTGATGGAATCAGACTATACCACCAGGTTTATGATGTTGCAATGATTGGCAAGGAAGATAGCCCAGTAAATGGCTATCATCTCAGTTTTAAGTGCATCATAAGCCCAATATGGAGATTAGAAGTAAAAAATACACTTTCCTTGAGAGTTTCTAAAAATTCCTCCAACACCAACAGCCTCCTTAGAGAAACTACCATCAGTATTGGCCTTCAGCCACCCTAGAGGAGGGGGATCCAAAGGACCAAAGTTGGCTTGCAAAGGTTCATGTCTATCCCATTAGACACCCAATTGTGGAAAACATTGGGAAAATTCTGGTATTTTATAATCTTTTGCAAATAGGAAGTACAATTCAAAACCACAACCTTTTCCATAGGTTTAATGTTGTCAAACTTTACTTGGTTTCTACACATCCAGATGAACCAGGCAAAAATACATGGAATGATTATCAACTTAGATTCCAACCATTCCTTCAAACACCACAAAAAAAATTTTCCAACTGACTTTTAGAGTATCAATGTTGAGCTGAATCAAAAGTTCAGTCCAAATACTTTGAGAGAAACTACAAGAGAAGAACAGATGTTCCAAACTTTCTTCTACCTCACTGCACATACAACTGCTGAAGGTCCCCTAAGATGAAGGTCCATGAGCCCTTTCATCTTCAAAACATCATCACTAGGTAGTAAATATTGCCAAAGCCTCCAACATAAAAAAGACATGGAAGGTGTTAACCACTTTCCCCAAATAGTTTTCCCCCACAGAACAGGTTGCCACTGATAAAATTGTTGAAAAATGTAAGCTGAAATTTTTGTGAGGGGGCTTGTCTAGTAATGATTCTATCTTTTTGTGCAGGATTGATGTTTTTGTTCTTAACCCAATACATATGCTCTTCATTTAAGATGGTAGACAGCAGATTGCAATTCCATTGATTTTTAGTCCAAAATTCATTCAACTTTGTCACATATTTGGGATTGGAGGTGGCACAAGATGGCCTCTCCCCATTCCAAACCCATTTATCCAACCAGAAATTGATTTGCCCTTCTCCAAGCTCCCAAATAAATAAATCTTTTGCTTGATGTCTGACCTGCAGTAATTTGGTCCACAGCCTGGAATCACCTAATTTCTTCTTAGCCAAATTAGGATGTAATGCCCTGTAGTACTTCCCCTTCAAAAACAATGCCCATAGACTATCTTGGGTTCTAAAATTAATTCATAGTTTATAAAGATTAATAAAACTTAGTTGTTGAAAAATCTTTAAAACCCAAAACACTTGCATGTAAAGGCTTACAAAGTATTTTCCAAGCTAACCAATGAAACTGTTTCTTCTGTCCTGCCCACAAGAATTTATTAAGAATTCTGCCTAGCCTTATTTGAGTCCCCTTCTACATGATGAACATTTGAAGAGCATAAGAGGGGATGGAAGTTAAGATGCTTTAAAGGAGAGTGATCCTACATCCATTTGAGAGGAAGTAATTGGCCCAACATTGAAGTTGTTTCTCAATTTGATCAATAACACCATTGAATTGAGTTTGCTTGGCTCTCCCTTTAATTAATTAAACTCCAAGATAATTAGAGAAGCAAGGCTAAAGCCAAAGTGTTGTGCAATCCATTGCTTAATTTGCAGAAGAATGTGTGAGCTAGTAAAAATTTGACATTTTTGTTTGTTAAGATGCATACCAGATGTTCTTTGAAAGTGCTTAAGTCCTTGATAGAGAGACTTCACAACATTCTTAGTAGCCTTTGAGAAAATAATAATATCATCTGCATAGGACAGGTGACTCACACCAATGTTGGATCCGTGCTGATAGGCCAAATGAGGAGAAGATACAAACATTTGATTTAGAAGCCTAGAAAGATAATCCATAGCAAGAAAAAAGATTGTTGGTGACAAAGGATCTCCTTGTTTGATTCCCCTAGAAGCAGTGAAGAAACCTTGGCTCTTGCCATTAATTAAGATAGAGTGGTTACTGCAAATAAGCCATCTTGTAATCAGAGTGATAAAAGCCTTTGAGAAACCCCTAGCATTTAAAGTAGCCAAGATAAAATCCCTGTTAATTGTATCATATGCCTTTTGAATATCAAATTTAAGAATGAGACTGCTGCCTCTACATTTTCTATCAAGATTTAGCAAAAACTCCTGAGCCAAGAGAATGTCATCAGTAATTTGCCTGCCTTTCACAAAAGCCACCTAATTATTGCTAATAAGCTGTTGAGGATGAGGTTGAAGCCTGATACTAATTATCTTACTGATACTTTAGAAGTAACATTTGTTAGGCTGATAGGTCTGAAATCACCCGACCCAACCCTGTTGGAATTTTTGGGAATAAAATTTATAGTGGAAGCAGTAAAATACCTAGGGGGATCAATACCTTTAAAGAAGCTTTGCACTGCAGCAACAAACTCCTCATGGATGATATTCCAAGTAGCCTTACAAAACATAGCAGTGAAGCCATCAGGGCCAGCCACCTTATGGTCATCAATAGAATCCAAAGCAGCTTTAATTTCTCCTTCCAAGGGGATATTATTTAGTTCCAAATTATGGACATATTCTTGACAATCAGAGAAGAGCTCTATATTGATCTGAGCTCTAGAAGATGACTGATCATTAAAAAGATTTTGGAAGTAATGTACAGCATCTTGGGCAATAGCCTCAGCATCGAACAAGAACTTACCAGAAGAATCATTGATAGATAAAATCATATTATTTTTCCTTATGAAGTTAATGCAAGCTGGTGATAACTTGAGTTTCTATCTCCCTAAATAAATTTGATAACAGCAGCCTTCTGCTTCAAAAAACTTTCAGAATAGTTAATTTGCATTAGAAGCTCTTCATTAGCTTTATGAAGGTCAACTTCAGAATTTAAACCCCTTTGAAAAATCTTTTCCATATTAATAACTTTACTTTGTGTATTAATCAGGTTTTCATGAATAATGCCAATAGTGTCCCAATTCCACTTCTTCAGATGTGCTTCCACCTTCTTTTGGAGTTTTTTACAGATTATTCCAGGGATTAGCCTCTCCATTAGACCTCCATACCTTAGCAACTTCCTCAACAAATTGAGCATGTAGAGTCCACATATTTTGAAATCTGAAAGGAGCTCTATTGGGGCTTTCAACAATTTGAATTGAGCAAATGCGAGGCCTGTGGTCAGAACCATCCATGGCTAGATGAGAAATGATAGTAAAGGGAAAGGTTTGAACCCATTTAGAATTACCTAGCTTACCAAGCATTCTATCAAGTCTTTCCCACATGGAACCCCTTCTCCAAGTAAAGTCAGGACCTTGATAACCCAAATCAAATAATTCAGCGTCAGAAAGAAAATAATTGAATCTACTCATAGCAGAAACATGAGGTGGTCTACCACCTCTTCTTTCACTAGGAGAAGTAATGCAATTTAAGTACCCCCCCAAAAAAAATCCAAAAGGAGTTAACAGATTGCCCAATTTGAGTTAAATCAAACCATAAAGTGCTTGATTATTAGCAAGACTGCTGGCATAGATGAAGGGGGCATAGCCAACTTGAGCTCCAATATAGAATTGAATATGGGAATTGAATATATATTGGGAATGATTTTGCAAAACTGACCACTGGAGTTCAGCTCTAGCAAAGAGCCAAATCTTCTTATTAGAATTAGAGAAATGAGCAAATTTAGAGATTTTTATTTAAATTTTGTGAGATTTTTTAGTAACCAAGGGTTCTAGAATGGCAAAACACCACACTTTATGAACTCTAACAAGATATATTAATCTCTTGAGAGAAGAGGGGTGAGCAATACCCCTAATATTCCAAACTAGGAACTTTATCATTGAAAAAAGGTCCTCCCTTTCCCCCTAGTCCTAGGATGGTGATCCACAATTGCAGTGGAGGGGACATCCAAAGGCTGTTTAATATCAGACATGCCTTTCTTTTTCTTATTATTTCTCTGAACTTGCTAATCTTCAAGTTAAAACATCTGTCAAACTGTTAATTGTCTGGTCATCAATCCTAGTTGGGTTAATGCTTAGTAAGTTGTCATCCTGTATTGTAGCTCCCCTCAAATTATTGTTAATGCAGATATCTTCCTCCTGCTCCCTAGCTTTACCATTGGGCACAGTCCCAATAATATTATCAGCATCAATAACAACAGTATCATCACTCCCTGCCCCTTTGTTTTCAGCTATCTCTACAGTCCTAGAAGTAGTAACTTTATTCCCAGAAGTTTTCCTTTTATATGGAGGATGTAGTCTATAACACTTCTCCAAATTATGTCCAAACCTTTTACAATGTTGATAATATAGTGGTTTTTGCTCCACCACAATCTTCTGTCAGAACCCTTCTTCAGCAATTCCAATCCACACCCTTTCAATATTTGATAAGTGATCAAAGAAAAATATGTTGAGATTTTCATACCTATTTTACACTGATTTTGATGATATTGCACTTTAAAGAAAGGTATTTTTGATATTTTTTTCCAGGTATGTTGAATTATGGTCATTGGAGGTAAAAGTTGCAAAAAGGAGTGAATTTGGAGCAAAAAGGAACAAAATATGAAGATTTGTTCTTGGGCGCCGACGACGTCATTGACGCCGCCGATGGCGGGGTTTTCCCTTTTCCCAAGAGTCCAGAATTAAATATTCTAGAAGGCCTCTGACGGCACCATCGAGGCCACCGAAGGCGAGAGCGATGATTCTCTCAATAGATGCATTGAATGTGGACAATTTTTGAAGGGAACCTTAGGTAACTCTTGAAAACTCTTCTACAACTTTAAGAGAAACATTTTCGAGGCCAAAAAATGGGAGTCCAGAGTGTCCAAATAGTGTCGAGAGGTCTATGGGTGTCCAGGTGAGTGTAATTTAGGGTTAGGTATTGTGAGGAATTCTTCGAGAGATTGTAAGAGTGGAAGGAAAGTGAGTGATTTCTTCCCCCTTGCCGCTTTGAAGGAGAATTCTGTGTGGTGTAAAGAAAGAAAGAGATTCAGAGGAACTTCGAGGAGTTACTTAGGGAGGAATTCAAGATAAGTTTTATTTACTTATTGTAGTTTGTATGACTTTGCTTTTTATATATGAAATCCAAGTTTTGTCCTATCTTCTCCATGAGTTCTGAGTAGTTTTATCTGTCTTTCTCCTTGACTTGAGATTTTGTAAAATGGTGATTTGAATTGGTTGTGCCATGAGACTGTTAAAGAAGTTGTGATGATCTTTTCACTTTAATCTTAATTTACTTTCAATCTGGCCAATTGATTTGTTAAAATATGTTGAGTTTTACAACTTAAGTGAGGATTACATCTCAGATTTAGGAAGGTCAAAGTCCTTGAAAGTTTGGTGCAAATGAATAGGAAAATAAAAATTATTTTAACAAATCAAGAGAGGGTGATGTGTCAAGACTTACCAAGATGTAAGTCAACCATACAATACATATACATGTGTCAAGTAGTAATGCAATTTAAGAGTACTGCGTATCAATCCCACAAGGGAAGTGTAATATTTGGTTCGACATAAAAAGCTCTAGTTTACAAATTTAGTTAACCTTGCTTGGTGATTATCAAAAGAAGGTTTTAAGTTCTATGCTCCTAACGAACATAGAATACTTAACAGTGAAAGAAAGCAAAAATTAGGGGAGAATAGTTTGTGAGTTTCTTCAAGAATAATGAGGCTCTTGCCTTTGTGATTTGGGGATGGTGGCTATCATGGGTTGCTTTATTATTTTCTTGCCTGAATGTTGTGAATTGAGGAAAAGGTACTCCTTATTCCTATTTCTTGTTTAAAATAATATATAATCCATGAAATCGAGGCTTCCTCAATCTTCATGACATTTTGCTTGACTTTTTTAATCCTCTAAAATGATTGTATAATTCAAATGGATTATGTCTGTCCCCTTTAAGTTCAATGGTTAACCCTAACCCTTCGTTTTCTATGCAACGGTTAGAGGTCATAGTTTCATGAGGCATTATAACTTGCTAGTTGGTCAAATGTCGGTCACCAAATTGGAAAGATAATATTTAATTTAATATATATTAAATATTTATAAAATAATAATTTAGTTTTGAAAATATGAAACTGAACAGATCTGATATAGAAAATAATTTAAAAAAACGAGCGCAATACCGCAAGCAATGCATTTACCCTAAGAAATAGACACATAACTTACTAGTGAGGCTTGATTAAATAAACTAAAGGATTTATGACATCCGCTTTAGTCTGCAAACCTTTATGTTGACCAACAAGTTCCCCTATATAATATGAAAAATTAAATGGGTTTATAACCCGAGTTCTAAAGTTTCTTATAAGGGCAAGCCCCTATAAGAAATTACATCTTAAATGTCCAAGGTTACCTAAGAAACTCTCAATTTAGATCAGAAAATATTATTGTTGATCTCATTTTTAGTGAGGTCTAATTTTCTTCATAGGGTTTAGGGTCTAGCCGTAGGGTTCTCCCTTTGACTATCTTAAAACCATAACAATGGGAACTACCTCATTTTAGTGATTCAAACTGCTTCCTTATTCTTTTGGAAGTTCCGCATGTAGTTCTTAACCTCTAGCACTTAGAAGGTTGAAACTAATATGAGGAAACTCAAAAGGAGTCCCTATAGGACCTTTAAGCCCTAGGATTGCCATTTACATAATTTGCACATTCGAGCACACAAACTTTGCAATTCAAGCGGTCGACACTTCCGATCATAACATTTTACGTCACCTGTGTCATTATTTGTTAAAAACCTAAATAAATTTTTGAAACGATCGATCGACGGGGTTACACGAACGACCCCGGTTGACGAAACAGACTATACCGGCGTGTCCAAAATGTTGATTTTACCTAGGATGATGTTCATTTAACCACAATAGAGCATTCAAGCTAAAATGTGTGGAAGGATTAAATAATAATAATAAAAATAATAATAATAATTTTCTTAAAAATAATATTATTATTATTATTTCTCATCATATCGCATCCCCTCTCTCCCGTTTCCATCACAAACCCTAGCCTCCAGATGCCAAAATGAATCGCGACAGTCCCCTCCCTCTCGATCATGACTCCTCGAGCCGCATGCATGCTCCCCAACTACCCTCTCTCTCCTCTATCGCGATTCTTATATGTTGTAGCTTCCTCCTCGAGCCGCACACATGTGCCCCAGTTGCTCTCTCTCTCCCAAATCGTGATTCTTATCTGTTGCAGCCTCCTCTTTGAGCCACACGCAGACAAAAACTCCAAGCTCTTTCTTTATGAAGCTACAAGCCTCCCTCGAAAAAGTTCTCCAGATTTCTTCGCTCCCACTTATATAAACCCCTCTTAGGGGAAGATTTTTTGTGGACAAAATTTGGTAAGAGGGGGAGGTGCTGACCAAAATTTTATGGTTTTCCCAAATTTATTGTTTGGCTGCTCAATATTGGCTGCTCGGTATTCTTGCTTAGTGGCTTAATATTCCCATGTGATTGCATATTTGGCTACTGAGGTATTACAATCTTGCTAGTTTGTGTTTTGGCTTGTTTGTGTGATACTTTTGAGAATTTTCTGAAATATTGACTAAAATTTTAAAGGCATCATGAAGCATTCGTTGTTCATACATTCCCATATCAGAGAAAAAGATATCTGAAGCAATTAAAAAATCGAAACATTTTTGATATTTTAATCTTGTTGTAAATCTCACTCAAATGCCTAGAACATTAGGTAGTTTTTATCATTTCTGGTTCATAATCTATGAAAATGTGGCTGGAGGGATCTTGTTCTGATGATTTCTTGTCTGGCGGTGTGAATCTTTCTAATCTGAGTCACTTGGAATTGCCTTAAATGCACTTTCTAATTCACGTGGAGTTGGGAAATTAAGGCCACTTTATGTGCTAAATAAATTTAATGTTAAGAATGAGAGTGGTCATAGATTTGGAGAGTTTGAACATAAAGGCGAGTTGTGCAAATTAGAAATACATTTTTTGGAAAATGTAATAGATGCTTCAGAGGTTAGCATTTTAAAATTATTTGAGAAAGAGAAAACTCACATATTTATTCTTGAATTGAGGCAAAACTGTTGATAAAAGGGAATCATACAGGGTAGATAATTAATTGTTTTTTTTCCTTCTCATTTCTCTCAAGCTCTTGAGGTTTCAAAAAAATTTGGAAAGCTTCGCCAAATTCATTATGAGAAAATCAAAACTTTGTGTGGCTTATTTGGAAAATCTGAAACTT